TGGGAGGCTTTCCTTTGCTGTTACCCAGGTGCTGCTTGAGGTGAGTCCAGCTGGAGAAACAGCCTGGTACAGCACGAGGTCTGTCCCAGACCCTGCAGCACATTAGAACCACCTGGTCCCTGTCGGTGCCTGGCTGACGCCCAGACCCATGGCATCACTCTGAGAAGGCACCAGGCCTCAGTACCCTTGAACGCCCCAGGGGTCCGCGTGCGCAGCCAGGGCAGGCAGAGACCCTTTTGCGGCACGCTGGGTGTCTCTCCAAGGGGAGGGTGTGCTTCTGCACCCCAGGATGTATCTGCTACCAAGGTCTACAGACATTTTTGAGGGTGGGGGGAGGTGCTACGGGCATCCAGTGGTGGAGGTCAGGGGTTGGCTGAATGTCCTACAGGACAAGGTCACCCCTTACAAGAAGGAATCAGCCACACCCCAATGTCACTAGTCCTGAGGCTGAGAAACCCACAGAGCCAACCCCCTGCCAAGCTGGGGCCCTTGGGAAAGTCTTCCCCCGAGCCAACTCCCAGCTGGCCCTGAGGCAGGTGTGGGATAGGTCTCCAGTCTCTGTGGCCAGCGGGGACTGCTCCCGAGAATCCCTTCCTGTGCTGAGCCAGTGTCTCAGCTTTCCCTACGGGGCCAGGGCCTCCTCGGTCACCAGACCTCAGGAACTAGCTTGCAGCCTGTTCGCATGGTCCCTGCGTTGGAGCCCAGGGTTCTGGGATGTCCCTCTGCATGTCCACATCTCCTTCATATCCTCACCCCATGTTTTCGCTTCCCCAAGAGGACGCCAGCCCTGGCTGTGGGAGATCACTGCTGGCTTCTGCCCAGCTTGGAGCCACCACAGCCCTAGGTTACTCAGATCCCTACCAAGTCCAGCTGCCCGTTTTCTGCTGGTCACTTGCTTTTGAAGCAGCCCTGGGCTTCACATGACCCATCTTGCATCTGCCCAGGGCCCTCAGCCCCAGCTCCAGCAGATGCAAAGGACAGCTGGGCTTCCAAAGTCCATCAGTCCAGCATCCTTCCCACAAGGGCAAGGCATGGGGCCACCCCACTGGACCTCAGGCCAGCCCTCCACAGGCTATGAGAGTCTCTAGGGTGGGCCTGGCCTCCCCAGGACACTCCCATGTGCACCCAGGGTGGAAATGCTGCTGTAAGGAACCGGGACCCTAGGTCTCCCAGGCCAGCCTGCTGACCTCGAGCACAGCTGACCTTCAGGACAGAGCTGCAGTAGGAGCACACCTTATCTGCACGAGGGCTCCTGGGGCCCTCTGACCACCCCACCAGGAGGAGAGTGTCCCAGGGAACTGTGGGCTCTGGGCCCTGGTGGGAACTCCTCCAGAAGCTACTGGGTAGAGGCACAGCTGAGCCGGCAGTGTAGACACAGTCTGATGGGCAGTCCACTCACTGAGGTCCAGAGTTGGCTGGCTTCCCCAGGGGCAGATGCTGTCCCCTCTGCACACTGCAAGGGCAGGGGAAGCCGAGGAAGGGAGGCACAGTCCTCGCGGCGGCTTGCTCCAGCCTCATGCACCAGGGCCTTGGTATCCTCATCCAAGTGAGGGCACACTCAGCTGAGTGGCTTCTCAGTGTGAGCCACAGACCCCACCCATGCCCCGTTGCAAAGGGAACTTGAGCACCTGGGGTCTCTCCAGGGTGAAAGGCGCCAGGTGGTTTGTGCTCCCAGCCCCCAGCAGCCAACTAGGCACCAACAGCAGAGCTTCAGGTGCAGTTAAGTGACTCACTGCCAAGAGCACCTGCATGGAACGCGGCTGCACCCCACGGTCAAGCCCCAGCCCAGGGGACCTTCTGCCTGGAGGAAGAGGTACCTCTAATCTGCTCTGCGCCTCCCTCTCTCCGGGGCGGCCTGATAGTGCACACCTGTAATCTGACTGCTTAGGAAGTGGAGGCAGGAGGATCACAAGTCCAAGGCCAGTCTGGGCAACTTAGCAAGTCCTTGTCACAAAATAAAGAAAGGAGCCAGGCACGGTGGTGCACACCTGTAATCCCAGAGACGTGGGAGGCGGACGCAGGAGGATCCTAAGTTCGAGACCAGCTCGGCAACTTAGGGAGGCCCTGTCTCAAAATAAAAAGGGCTGGGGTGTAACTCCGCGGTGAAGCTCCCCGTTCAATCCCCAGTGCCGAAAAGAAAGAAAGTGCTGGGGTATGGCTCGGGGCAGAGCAGCCACGAGTTCAATCCCCAGTACTGCGACATTTAAAAATGAACAAACAAGTGATCTGCACACAGGCCCTGCACGGGCTGCTGGTGGCTCTGCCTGCGTCACCTCCTGGCAGCGCCACACTGTGCCAGGGAGTGGCTCCAAGAGCACAGCGTATCCAAGCTCCGAGGAAGGGAGCAGACCCTGAAACCCCGGAAGGGGTAAAGGACACCACCTGCTGGTACCAGCTGGAGACTGGACACAGGGAGGCCGGGGGCAGCGGCGGGGGCGCGGCC